TGGCCTCCCCCCCTCTTCCCCTCCTCACCATTTCCCTGTGCTCCCTGCACCCACGCAACCACTAGGATGACGAGGACCCCTTGGTATTAGGCCCTGGGGGCAGTTACTGGGGTGCCCGCGAGAACCTCTCCCTCAGGGCCTCTTGGATGAGCATCCCGGCCTGGTGCACTTGCTGGATGGCAGCTGTCTGTGGCTTCTCATACGCATGGCCCACTTGGCCAGCGTCTGTCCCCTAGCCCGGGAGGAAAGCCTTCCCCTTCCTCTCCACAATGTTGTGTCCTCCATAAGGACATAGGCATAAGGGACTGAACGCCAATAAAGTGTCAACCTGCCTTTTTAAGGAACCTACAAGCCATGGAAAATATAGGTTTGGAATGGAAGTGTTATCTCAACTATCTTTCTCTAGCTACTCAAACTCATTTAGGAAGAGCGAACTGAAACCATATCTGCCATGCAGTTCCTTTGCCCACACCAGCACAGAATGGTACCCCTAGCAAATTGCCTCCCAGGCACGTGACCCCTGCAAGGTTCAGAGTTTGCTCTACCAGCTTTACAGAATACCATGTGACAAGGGAAATACTCAAGCCAGATGGGAGCAGGCAAGAGAGGGGAGGAGGCATAATAGCAATCTGGCCAGATGTAGCTAAGGTAGTTCTGCATTCTGGCTATTGCAAAACCTAGAAGCCATGGATGCTAGAGAGCAATTTAGGGCTGGCCTAATTGAACTGGGAGCTGCATTGCACCACAGCAGGATGAGACAAGCTGCTGCATCTTTGCTCTAGTCTTAGCTCTGGAGTAAGTTTGGCCTATGTAGAAAAATATCATAAAATATGAGAGAGAGAGAAAGAAAGAAAGAGAGGGAGAGAGTGTCAGTGCGTGAGAGATCCCACTGCAAGATTCCTGTGGGAGCCAGTTAAAATTGCCTTCACAAAATAAAAGAAGTATCTTATAATGAGACATCAGTCAACCATGTGAATGACAGTAAACACCTGTTTTGTGATGAATCAAAGTAGTTTGCTTAATGATGTTTTTCAGACTCTATACATCTCTCAGTATTTTACACCCTTTACCAGAGGGATTTCACTTTACAGGGTGATCACTAAATTTCCCTTGTGTTTGCTGGTTTTCCCTCAGCCCGCCCCTCATTTTTGAGAGACCAGCATGCAAGTACTTAGTCATTAACTTTGTTAAGACAACTCTGACACTAAAGCACCACTGACAGGATGTATCTCTTGCTGCCGGTTATTCAAATCTGAATCCAGAGTTATATATGAAGAAAAGCTCTTCAGAAGATGAGGCAGGCTGAGTTCATTGAACTGCTGTGAGGTCAATGGGAGCTTTGCAATTAACTCAAACGGAGAGATCAGACACCGGGAAAATTTAAACAAATAAAAAGGAACAGGTAAAAACAAATGATATACTCTAGCAGAGGAGAAAGTTTTTCATTTATAAAGTCGATTTTGCTACTTGTTTGCTTATTTCAAAGTATCACTGAAAGATGTATTCACAACAGATATTTTGCAATGATTTTGCAAAATTATTTACTGCTTATTTTAATATATATTTCCAGTACATAGACAGACATAATGCAACACTTTGGAATTATTGTACTCTCATTCATGTCAACTTTAATTCTCTTTTTCAGACAGACTCAAAATTGGAATAGCTTAGGCCAACCAGTGTCACACCAAGAACGTTGGTACTCAAATGTGAACACTAAAATCTTCAGGATAGTTAACCACAAAAGCACAATATGACTTCAGCACTTCTTCCAAACGAAGAAGTACAATACTGCTTTGAGAACATTAATGGCTCTTGCTATAAAACATCATTTTCTTCTGGAATCCGGATAACTTTGTATGTTGTACTTTGTTTGCTAACAATTCTTACACTAGGTGGAAACCTCATGGTAATCATTTCAATTACTTATTTCAAACAGCTTCACTCACCTACAAATTTTTTGGTTGCTTCCCTGGCATGTGCGGATTTTTGCGTGGGTCTGACTGTGATGCCCTTCAGCAGTATAAGATCTGTTGAAACATGTTGGTATTTTGGGGACACATTCTGTAGATTCCACAGTTGTTTAGATGCATCTTTTTGTTATTCATCAATATTTCACTTGTGTTTCATCTCTATTGATCGATATGTTGCTGTCACTGATCCTTTGATTTACCCTATCAAGTTCACGGTTCCTGTTTCAGGCATATTCATAGCTGCTGCCTGGACAATTTCATTTGCGTACACTTTTTCTATTGTCTTCTCTGGGGCTATTGATGAAGGGATAGAAGAATTCACAAATACACTCTCTTGTGTAGGGAGCTGTCAGCTTGTCTTCAACAAGACATGGGTGATCACATGCTCTCTACTTTTTATAATACCTTTTTTCGCAACAATGGCACTTTACAGTAGGATCTTTGTTGTGGTTAAACGACAAGCTAGAATGATAGAAACTACAAACAACACCCAGTCATCTGAAAATTACAGTGACAGAGTTGCTAAAAGAGAGAGGAAAGCTGCTAAAACTCTGGGTATAGCTGTGATAGCTTTCATGGTATTCTGGACGCCTTATACGGTAACTGTAATAATTGATCCTTTTCTTAACTTCATAACTCCAGCCCCTGTCTTTGATATTATGCTTTGGTTTACTTATTCCAACTCTGCTGTTAATCCTTTGATTTACTCTCTCTTTTATCCTTGGTTTCGAAAAGCAATGAAAGTGATTGTGAGCTGTAAAATCTTCTGGCTTGACTGCTCAACAATGAATTTATTTCCAGAATAAAAAAAACTTAAACAAGTGGTCCTTGTGCCTAACCCCCTGAGACTTTTATTTCCAGATTGAAAGCCTGTCCAATCCTGTAGCTACTCACATCATATTTCACATTCATTGCCCTTTTCATAATATCTGGCTGTGTATTTCTTTTTCTGTCTGAAGGTATTTTCATCCTGACTTTCTACTTTTTATTATTGTAAAATACTGGTTTATGTCATAACAGAACAATTTATTTACAGATATTGTTAATTTAATACTAGATTATGCTATGAACCAGTAATAAGAGAGTCATTCCTACTTGTGGGAATTGTGATTCTGAGAAGATAAATTCCCTATTCAGAATTCAACAAAGGCAAAAAAAAGTTTGAACATTAGAGATGAATTTCACTGTAAAACTATTTGTTAGGAAACACTACCAATATAAAAAACAGAAATGTGCCACGAGCCACTAGCAGTTCTTTTACTGGTGGAGTTACAAAGACACAAACAGCAGTGATACAGAGTCCGCAGACAGAAGTATGCAACTTGCCATCAGAAAAATTGCATGTCCCACTCACATTCAAATAATGAATGAGAGTACAAGACATTATTTTAATCCCTATAAGACGAGTAGTCCTGTAGCACCTTAGGGTATGTCTACACTACCCCACTAGTTCGAACTAGTGGGGTAATGTAGGCATACCGCACTTGCAAATGAAGCCCGGGATTTGAATTTCCCGGGCTTCATTTGCATAAGCCGGGAGCCGCCATTTTTAAATCCCGGCTGGTTCGAACCCCGTGCCGCGCGGCTACACGTGGCACGAACTAGCTAGTTCGGACTAGGCTTCCTAGTTCGAACTACTGTTACTCCTCGTGGAATGAGGTGTCCAGTCTCCACAAGGACCTCTGCACAGTGGGGTGGGGATGGCACAGGGATGCCATGGCCTCCCTGGTGAGGGAGTCCAGAGTGACCTGTGCCTCAAGGTCCTGAAGGAGGAATGCAGCAGCCTGGAGCAGCAGCTCCAGGCACTCCAAAATGGCCGGAAGGGGCCAGAGCAAGCACAAGGCCATCCCTGGCTCCATGGCACAAGAAACAAGCTGAGCTAAAAAAATCAGCTAAAGGCACTAAAAGGCACAAGGCAGTGGTGTCCAAAAAGGCAGAGGGCAACCACAAATAGAACTGCTATGGCTGTCAGTCCCTGCAAGAGGTCCTATAGCACGCAGCAGGAGAGAAACGGCTGTCCGGGGAGATCCCTTTAAGCACGTGTCTCAAAGGAGCTCCGGCCCCCGCCCAAGCTGCTGCAGTGGGAGAGGGCTGGGGTAGTACTGACCCCTTCACCACCAGCCCCACCCCAAAGCAACGAGTTAAATGAAGAAAAACAAAACTTATTTGAGTTAAAGTCCTGAGCAACACTGGATAAATCTACTAGGAAGTTTTATAAAGAACGTATTCAGTAAGAATGTGGTCAGATGACGGTGAGCCATATGTATCTCAGAAAGGGCTGCTAACCTTCCTGGCTGCCAGGAGACTGCAAAATGGGGGAGAGGTGGAAGAAAATGGATCACACAGCCTTGTATGATAATGCCATACTTATGGGCTAATGGCAGCTCTCCTTGAAGAAGAGGGCTGCAACTGCTCAATCCTGAGATCTTTAACAAGCAGGGTCTGATCACATGAAAAGCACAGAACACCGTATGCTGTCTGGAACACTCACCGTCTTTGTGCGGTCTTTCCCATGAGGAAGAGACATACGGAATGGAGTCTGAAATTCAGAGTCTGAATTTCTGAATTTCAGGAGTCTGAATTTCAGAGATGCCGAGTACCCACAACTCCCATTGACTTCAATAAGAAATTTGGAGGGTAGTGCTTCTGAAAATGAGCCCCACCTTGGTTGTTTGCCTTGTTCCCTTTAGTTTTCCTCCTCCAAATAAGGGCACATGAAACTGATTTTGCCCCAAGAGGAGCAGAGAAGATACTTCCTAATCAAACGATTATTTAAGCCTGAACTTAGCACTTAAACGCATGAGGGATGGAAGTTCTATGAATAAATAGCTGAGGGTATGTCTACACTACAAAGTTAATTCGAACTAATGGACGTTAGTTCGAATTAACTTTCATAGGCGCTACACTAGCGCTCCGCTAGTTCGAACTTAATTCGAACTAGCGGAGCGCTTAGTTCGAACTAGGTAAACCTCATTTTACGAGGACTAAGCCAAGTTCGAACTTACTAGTTCGAATTAAGGGCTGTGTAGCCCCTTAATTCGAACTAGTGGGAGGCTAGCCCTCCCCAGCTTTCCCTGGTGGCCACTCTGGCCAACACCAGGGAAACTCGTATGCCCCCCTCACAGCCCCAGAGCCCTTAAAGGGGCACAGGCTGGCTACAGTGCCCGTGCCAGGTGCAAGCCTGCCAGCACCCAGCCAGCAGACCCTGCACCTGGCACGGCATCAGCCAGCCACCCGCTGCCACCCAGCCCTCCACCTCTTCCCGGGACCAGGCTGGCAGCTCCCAGGAGCCTGCGGGAAGCCTCCAATGTCCATGACCTCCACAGTAGGCACAGGAAAGCGGCTGTCTAGGGCAGGTTTGCATGAAAATCAAGGTGGTCCACTGAGACCCCCGACCCTGAGCCTAGAATGGCCATACTGGGTCAGACCAAAGGTCCATCTAGTTCAGTAGCCTGTCTGCCGACAGCGGCCAACACCAGCTACCCCGGAGGGGATGGGCTGAA